CAAATATGGGGGATAGATGGTGGTCATAGGCGTGGTAGGGTGGCTGGACAGGGGACTGGTCAGGGGCTGGACAGGGGCAGCAGCGTCGTACCAGCCCTCTGGTTTCTATCTCTTTTTTCCTTTTTTTATTATTATATTTTTTAAAATATATTTATTATTATTATTATTATTATTAAAATTATTAATATTAAACTGAAATGAAAACAGTAGACCCAGACAAAACCGGTGTCTACAACTTGTTTTATTTGCAATAATTTTTCAATGTCGTTGTTTAATTTTTTTTAATATTGTATATACCAACAAAAAGTTATTAAGAAAATTTTTATCATATTTGTAATGATAAAAAATTATTGTTACGAAAACTTATTTTATTTGCAATGATTTTTTAATATATTTTTGACATTTTCGTCAATTAAAAGAAGGATTTTGAAAATTAACAAGGAATTTAAAGCGGTAGCTCCAAATTCCACCTATTTACATGGCTTTTGCAAATTCCTTCCCTTAAGTCCTGATTCTTGATTCCAGTTGTCCTACTGCAAAAAATAGAATTTTTTAATTTTGTACAACTTATTATAAAATATAATTGTTATAATTATAATTATAGAAACTCTTATTTATGATTTTTAAACTATTTTATTATATTTTAATTCTTTTATTTATATGTCAAAATACTTTATTCACATTTCGTAGTTATAATTCAGAATTAATAGTGATGAACATTTTAATTTTTTTTTATAATGTATGATTATTGAGGGGAGATGATTAAAACCTAACTTTTTGAGCATGGATAAATACACTTTACACCATCAAATCAAATATTTAAGTGAAATAATTAAAATAACTAAGTAAACTAAAATAATATAATAATTAGCAATTTAATATTTATCAATCAACTCATAAAAAATTCAATTAATAATAAAATCACCATTATAGAAATTATATAAAAAATTACTAATTATTTTAAAATGATTATACATGACTACATGCATAAAAATACAAAAAAAAAATCACTAATTAACAACTCACATTCCCTCTCAAACTTTCAACTAAATTATCCAAAAAAAATTAAAATATTAAAATTTTAATCAATCATTTGCTTTTCCCTCTCAAATTTTCACCTAAATAAGAAAAAAAAAAGCAAAAAATATAATTTTAAGTTTTAAATGGCACACGTGAATAGTTTCCAAAAGCCTTCCAAATTCTCACCTAAATTTTAAGGTAGAAAATAACAAAATAAAAATTCTATTATTGATTCGGTTGAACCAAAATCCACCAAACCTTTCCCACTTTCATCTCTCAAAATTCATCTCTATTTATGGTTCACTCTAACTCTCTCTTTCTTTAAAAATTCATCAATGGCGAGGCCTCTCTCACTCATCACCACACTTCCTATTTCTTCTAATCTTTTCTAAGTTCCATTCACACTATCTTTGCCTTCTTCCTCGACCCAAGCGGCTAACCACACTATTACTAAACCCAAACTCTTCCTCCTATCTTGACATTTGGTATAAATGGGCTTCATAAAAAAGAAAAAATCTTTTTAAAAAATATATTTTTGATTTCTTTTTAAAAAATTATAACTTCATAAAAAAGAAAAAATCTTTTTAAAAAATATTTTTGATTTCTTTTTAAAAAATTATAAATATAATAAATTATAAAAATTCAAAAAGAAAAAATGTGAGGTGCACCCAAAAAATAACAATAAAAAACCTCACACCTTTAAAAATATTTTTAAAAAATAAAAAGTAATGAACCCTATAAAACACATTTACAAAAATTTAGTGTTTGGATCTCACTTTAAAAAAAAAGTGGGTCTCGCACCTTTTGAAAAAAAAAAAAAAAAGGCTAATGATCTCCACTAATAAAAAAATGCGACATCTTGGAATCTACATATCAACAAATAGATTCTCGTTTCACAATTTTATTATTCAAAATAGGACTTGATAGACATCACAAAACAGAAAAGAGCTTTCTCTCTTACTCATCACTTATTTAAACAAAATTACTATATGGTCTGTCATGGCCAGTAATGTTTTATGTAAAAAGCATGCTTCAATAGCATAGATCCTATTGTCTCCCCATCGCGCGTGTTCCTTGCGCCACTTTGAATCGCAAGTGGAAGTGGCCTTATCCATCCAATCAATACTATAATAATATAATCAAAATGAGATTAACCACCTAAGACCAAAAAATTTGCTTACTACGCTTCCAAGGCTTTCCTTTCAAATTTCCAACAAGTTCCTCATCTTTTCCTCAGTGAAGCAATAAACTTGTTCATTTGCCATGCTGCATTACCTGTCCTATGCTCTATTAGCTAGTTCGTATAATTTCATGTGAATTTTTGAGCCAATTAATATAACTCAAACTGGCCAAAAAAATTTTACTCCCTCTGTCTCATTTTCTTTGTTCATTTTTTTTTTATGTCCCAAAACTATGTCTTATTTTCTTTTTTAACATTTAAAACTCTTATTTTTTATATTTTAAAATTATTTTTATGATTTTTTTTTACTTTTTGACATTAAAAATTATGAAACTTTAATTTTATAAAAAAATTTTAATTTTAATATTCAATACATTAAAGTCAAAATTTTTTTCTTAATTATATGAAAGTCAATGCAAGACAAACAAATAGGAATGTAGGGAGTAATATAACTCAAAGGGAAATTTAATGATAATGAGTTTAAAAAACTGTTAATAAATGCATGTTAAAGTCACTTCCCTTGTGATTACCCTAATTTGAAAACTTTAATGGCAACTTAACTTATGTTGCAGTATAAAAGCTTTCTCCTAACCAAAAGAAGCAAAAAATAATCAAGCAAATGGCAAGTTTCAATGTTATGCTACTAGTTTTGGAGTTTTGGTTATTATGGCAAGTGGAGAAGTGGCTCTTGATGTATGATCCAATCAAAGTAAATAATTATGAAGCCAGATGACATTGCATTCAAGATTCGTTGCCTAGCATTGCTGCCATGAACTTATCAAATTTGTCAATTTTGCCATGATGCATATGATGACTTGCAGTATTTATTTACTGCCGGAAGCAGATGGCTTAAGGGGAGAGAGTCTAAAACTCAGAAATTCTAATAGGTATTGTACCTTAGAAATAAGGGAATCCAAATCCCACATATGCCATGTAATTTATGTTATTTTTTAGTATTTTTGTCTTGACAATTTTTTAGAAAATTAAAGCAAAAGTTGAAAAGTGAAATCATATTCGATCAAAATAAATGGAAAATTAAAATGTGTTCGGTCAAGTATGCCATGACGCAATGGTGAAGAAAAGAGCTCTTCAAAATTCTAAATACAACTATAATTTTATCAAAGAGTGCTCAAAAATGGAATAAGTGGTCTTTAGTTAGCAATATCTCACCAAGTCCTTCTCCTTGCGAAGAATGATGATTATTCATTGAAGCTTCCCCTGTATTTACGTTCAAGTGCAAACTAAAAGCTCTAAAATTCATATACTATTCTCCTTCCACAATTTAATTGTTCAAAATGGGACTTGCACACCACAAAAATAACGCAAAACAACAATGTTTGAAAACAGAAAAGAACTTGACTCTCTTAGTTATCACTTAATTTTCACCCATAGCAATTTACCATTCTTTCCTCGCGGATTCTTCCTTGAAAGAACATCATAACAGATCTTTGACCCAAGAGACCATCACCAGGCGCTTTCATAGGTATTATAGAGATTTGTTTAAAAAAGGGTTAGGTCAAGTGAAATTGTCGAGAAATGTTTGTTTTCCCTATTTCCCTTGGAAACTAGACTCTTTTGGTCGTTGTCTAGCGTCTACTTTACGCAATTGCTATTTTCCTTTATAAACATTAGTAAACATAACAGCTAATTCCCCTCATCTTCTTTGAATCTTCCTGGAAGGAGCCTCATAGCATATCTATGATCCAAAAGACCACCACTAGGCGCTTTCACAGTTATCATATATAGATGCAATCGAAATAACAGTTGGGCAGCGTAAAAAGAAATTGTCGACAGATGTTTTATTCTTTCCTTGGAAATTGATCCGTTGTTCTCTTGCTTCATGCTCAAACTTGACGGTGTTTTTAGTTTCTGATAAATAGAAGCAAAGGGAACTGTCTCAAACACCAGCTTGAGATATCTTCCTCTTGCACCTCCTCCTTATGTCGTCGTTACCATCATCATCATCATCTTCTTCTTCTCGACAGAAATATGATGTTTTCTTGAGTTTTAGAGGTGAAGATACCCGCAAAAACTTCACTGATCATCTATATGCTGCTTTAAAAAAGAATGGAATCGAGACTTTCAGGGATGATCCAAGGCTTGAGGCCGGAGAAGAAATCGCACCAGAACTCTTGAAAGCAATTCAAGAATCATGGTGTTCACTAATCGTTTTCTCAAAAACGTATGCTTTTTCAAGTTGGTGCTTGGACGAGCTTGCTGAGATTGTTGAACAGAGAGAAAAGAGGAGGCATAAAATTTTCCCAATTTTTTATGATGTGGATCCATCTGATTTGAGAAAACAAACAGGAAGAGTTGCTGAAGCCTTTTCCAAACATGAAGAGAGATACAAGGGAACTAAAGACAAGATCCAAAGATGGCGAACTGCTTTAACTGAAGTGGCTAATATCAAAGGATGGCATTTAAACAACAGGTAACTCGTTCTTTTCTTGGCTAGTTTTTGTTTTTAATCACCGCAAATTTTATTTTTTTTTCTTTTTTGCAGTACATGTTATATACTTTAAAAAACTTTTTTAATATTGTGTTTTATTGTTGAATTTCATTTAAAAAACATAGACTTCATTCTTATTCCTGCTCTGTTTTTCGTCTCAAACTGTATTAGGAATAAAATCTTGTCTCTTCAAAATAAAGTGACCACCATGTATAATGTTTTGTTTGAAATAATAAAAAGAAAAGAAATTTATTTAAGAAATATTTTTTGTGATGAGATTGCGAGTTATAATGTACTTATATATTAATCATTTATGAAAAATAAAATCATAAATAATTTTTTAAAAACTTGAAATACATTTGGTAATGATTTTTTTTGTTTTGACTCAATAAATAATTCTTAGGACACAGATTATTGGGCTAATGTCTCTAAAAATGCTTTAAAAAAGTTACTTTGAAAAAAAGAAGATTCCAACAGTTCAATTTTGACTTTAAGACAAGTTCATATAAGATTACAACAGTTCAATTTTGACTTTAAGACAAGTTCATATATCACTCGTCTTTAAAAACTCCAATTCAATATTTTTTTTCCTTTAAAAATTTATATTAAATACATCAAAATCAACATTTTTTTTAAATTTAATAAAAAATAAAAGGAGTGACAACTAACAATTTAAAAATGAAAGACTAATAATTGTATTAGTATTAGATTAGTATGATTTATTTGGGTTTTTTCATTTCCCTCTAAACAAAACCCAAATAAATCATACTAATCTAATACTAATCTAATACTAATAAATTTTGAGGTACATATAGAGGTTTTTAAGTAGATTTGTCCATGAATCGAGTTAAGTCCAATTATTATTTAGAGTCTCTTACCCAAGGCAAGCTCGATTATTATTCAAAAATTTTAAAAATATTGAAAAATTCTTTATATTAATACGTTATATATTTTAAAATTAAATTTAAATAAAATAATTCTTCTCATTAAACAATGATACGAGTCAAACACGAACTTAAAAATTCTTGTCAAGGTTCAGTTTGAGATGAACCTGGCCTATGGGTAAAGTATGTAATTCCATCTATGACCAAGTCTACTTTAAAAGTATCCTAAATTTGTTTGGTTAAAATTATTGTGCTTTTATTTTTTGATTCTTTAATTTCTAGGCTCATTTATCATCATAATCATTTTCATTAGTGATTAATTTCTTAAGTAGAAACTAAATTTAATTTCTCTTTTTGTGTTTGAAGACATGAATCAGAATTTATTGGAGATATTGTTAAAAAGATATCAGCAAAATTATGTCAAACATATCCGATTGGCCATGATGAGTTTATTGGAATTAATTCACGGTTGGAAAAGTTGCATTTGAAAATAGACATTGGTGAAGATGATGTCCGCATTATTGGAATTTGTGGTATGGGCGGCATTGGTAAAACTACTTTTGCAAAAGTTGTTTATTCTCAAATGTCACCTCATTTTGAAGGTAAAAGCTTTCTTGCTGATGTTCGAGAAGTTTCAGAGAAATGTGGACTTGTTTCTTTGCAGAAACAACTTCTTTCTCAGATATTGCCAGAAGAAGGTTTTAATCTATTCAATGTTCATGAAGGGAATGCCATGATTAGTCGCAGGCTATCTCACAAGAAGGTTCTTGTTGTTATTGATGATGTTGATAACTTTCAACACTTAAAATGCTTGGTTGGGAGGCGAGATTGGTTTGGTTTAGGGAGCAGAATCATTGTAACAACAAGAGATGAACATTTGCTCCAATCCTATGGAATGGATGATGTGTATAAGCCTCCAACATTGGATGATGATGAAGCACTTCATCTTCTCAATTTGAAAGCTTTCAAGAGTGATACAGTGCCAGAGAATGATTTCATTGAGCTTTCTAAACAAGTTGTAGCATACGCTGGTGGTCTTCCCCTAGCTCTTGAAGTTATCGGTTGTTTTTTGTGCGGTAGAGATGCAGCTCAATGGAGAAGTGCAATTGAAAGACTTCAAAGAGATTTTGACAAGGAAATTCATGACAGACTTCTAATAAGCTTTGATGGATTAGAAGAAACAGAGAAGAACATTTTTCTAGATATTGCATGCTTCTTTAAAGGGGGTGAGAAAGATTTTGTAACTAACATACTAGATGGTTGTGGTTTCTTCGCAGAAATTGGAATAAATCGTCTCATTGAGAAGTCTCTCATAAAAGTTTGGGGCAAATTTTTGTGGATGCATGATTTGCTACAAGAGATGGGAAGAAAAATTGTTCGACAAAAATCACTTGATGAACCTGGAAAACGTTGTAGATTGTGGGAGGAAAATGATGTTTATCATGTTTTAACAAAAAATACGGTAAGTTATTCCATAAACATTTCATATTTATTTATTTATTTAGAATCTTGACTTTACTCAACATGCAAAAGTATATACCAAGAAAATTTATTAGCCAGGTAAGTTATTAGTATGACATTAAGATTTTGTAATTAAGATAAAACCAAAAATTTGAGATTGCATACTAATATTCTTGAATATATGAAAGAATAAAACTAAATAATTGCAAATAATAAAAGTAAGACTACTTAAGTGTATATTTTATTGTAGTTTTATAGTTTTTTATTAAAGTTATAATCATAAATAGGTACTAAATTCATATAAGAATAAAATAAAAATGGATAATTAGACCAATAAATAAACCTGCATATATAGCTATATATCAAATCCAATATAAAATTGGATTAAATCATATATGATAAAACTTAAACATGAAAGTTTAAAAGTAAGCAACTTTCTTGCTATTGAGACAATGTTTCATTCATATTATTTTAAAACTAAATTATGAATTTTTTATTTAAAATTATCTTGTTAGTTTAAATAAAGGAAAATTTCCTTTACTATAAACTTTGTTGAGAATTAGCATGACTATTAAATCCAATGCAAGAAACTATTATGTATTATGGTCTCCTATATTTCATCTTCTTGAAATTTAGCTATTAATATTTTACAGCATTTACTTTTCGTCCCCTTATGCTTTACTTTTGATTTTTAGGCTACCGACGCAATTGAGGGCATGATCATCGACAATAAAGGGTAAAAAACAAACACACACGTGTATCTATGTGTATATTATATATTATTATTTGATCTTAATTTGTCTCATTTAATTGAATTATTATTCCTAGAACATATATATTATCAATATTTTGTCCTAATTTGCATTTTTTTTATGTAGTTTTAGTTGTCGGACTTGAAATACCAGCATTCTTACCCATTACATTCTCTCATCCTCTCATTTTTAGATTTGAACGTGAAACTAATCAAAATTAAAGTAAAAGTCATAGGTAATCACCAAATGACTATTCAAAATTAAAACATAACCAATACGAAATTGAAATCATGTGGTAGGAAAATTGATTGTATTAACTAAAAAAGTTGTGTTTCAAAAAGAAGAAAACAATGATAGATACGAGTGAATGTTGATTCTTGCCTTTTGTAGGTGTTGAAAGCTTCAATATTTTGAAGCTCATTTTTGTTTTGCCCTTGGTTGTCAGGGAACAGAACAACATGTTCACTTTGAATGCTGATGCCTTCTTGAATATGAAAAAATTAAGATTGCTCAAAGTCTTTTATCTCCCAGTTACTCGAGATCTCAAATATCTTTCAAATGAGTTACGGCTTTTAGATTGGAGTGGATATCCTTTCAGATCATTGCCATCAAGCTTCCAACCAGACAACCTTGTTGCACTTCTCCTACCTTATAGCCACATTGAACAACTATGGATGGGAGACAGAGTAAGAATTACTTCATTCTATATTGGCCTTTTTGTTTATTTAGACGAATTATAAAAAAAATTTTGAATAAGATATGAAAATAACCAAAAAAAAAAAAAGAGTTTTCCAAAGTTTTCTTTATTTTTTTTCTCTCTAATTTATTGTTGTTGTCAACAGACTTTACCTAAATTGAAATTAGTCAACCTCCAAGGCTCCAAAAACCTGATCAAAACGCTAGACTTCACAAGGGCTCGATATCTCGAAAGTTTGATTTTGGAAGGTTGTTCCAGAATAGTAGAACTTCCCTCTTCAATTGGACATCTCAGCAATCTTGTTTTGTTAAATCTGAAAGATTGCAGTAACCTCGTGAATCTCCCAAGCAGCATAAATGGGTTGAAATGTCTTAAAACTCTTAATCTCTCTGGCTGTTCTAAAGTTGAAACTTTACCAGAGAATTTGCAGCATGTAGAATTTTTGGAGGAGCTTGATTTAAGTAAAACTGCCATAAGAAAACCTCCATCCTTCATTTTTCAATTTAAAAGTCTGAAAGTTCTTTCTTTCAATGGATGCAAGGGACCGCCATCAAAAGTACGACTGAATTTGCCTTCTCTTTTCAATGTATTGCAAAGAAGAAGTTCGGATTCCATGGCTCTGATGTTACCTTCTTTGTCAGGTTTGAGTTCTATAACAAACCTGAATCTAAGTGACTGCAATCTTGGGGAAGGAGCTATTCCTAGTGATATTGGGTGCTTATCCTCTTTGAAGGTACTTGATCTTAGTGGTAACCATTTCGTCTACCTACCTGCAACTCTTAATCGACTTTCCAAGCTTCATCTTCTTAGATTGTCAGATTGCCGGGAGCTTAAATCTTTGCCTGAGCTTCTTCTAACAGATATATATCCAACAGGAGAACCGAATTCAACAATTTGGGGATATATTGCTGGTTTTAACTGCTACAAATTGGCTAAGAAAAACAATACTTTAACAATGCTAAAAAATCACCTTAAGGTTGGTATCCCTCTATGTCACTAAATCTCACTCTCTAAGATTTATTGTATAACTTGCCAAACAACGAGCGATTTTTTTTTTTTTACAGGTATCTAATAAAGCAGGACGATTATTCGATATTTTTATTACTGGAAGTGAAATCCCAGAATGGTTCTGCCATCAGAGGGATGAATCTTCAATAAAGATACCACTGCCTCCTAATATTGGACATGATAATCAGTTGATGGGAGTTGCTTTCTGCTGCGTTTTTGTCTTTGCCTCCACCGATGATGATGATCGTTCGAAGTGCATCTTCTGTAAAGCTGTTATCCATGGTAGAAATATTTTGGATTTGAATGATAGTGGCTATGGTTTTGACAGAGAAGACAGGTTGTCTTTGGACATGGAGCACCTTTGGCTACGTTATTATTCTCGTGACATGATATTTCCGTTATTGAGTTCGTCTAGTACAGATTGGGCAAATCAAGAATGCAATGAAATTGAGTTCTCAACGAGAGCCAGTCCAGGGCAAGTGAAGAAGTGTGGTGTTCAAATAATGTATGAGAAAGATTTGGAAGAGATGGAAGAACTACAAGAGGAACACAACAGTCCATCAAATTCTGCAGATCTTGACGATATCCATTAAAACGTTGGTGGTGATGAAGGGTCAGCAGGGAACGGGGTTGTCCTTGTAAAACGAAAACGTAAAATCTACGAGGAGGAAGGAGGACCAATTGACGAGAGTGACAGCCTTGAAGAAAGACCACAACCAAAACGTCTGGAAAAAATTTTAAACTTTATAGTGGGGAAGAAACTTTCTGGTAAACTTCTAAATACTAATCGCTAGACTTGAATGAATCCTTTCATTTATTTACATGCTAATCAATAAAATACGAGGATTTCACTATTTTTTATAATTTCCTATAAATCTAATTTGCATTATTTCTGTGTTTGTTTTTTTAGATTGAAAGATAATAATCATTAAGTGAAATAAAATAATAGGGACAAACTCCATAAAAAGGCAAGGAAGATGAGAAGGTGAAATCCTTTGATGTCGCTTTGAGCATAATCATCTTATCTTTGCTTTTAAGAGTGTTTTACTTTGATTTAGGGAAAGAAGATTGTATCCTGTTTTTTGATTTGGTATCTTGAAAAATGAGATCATATGTGATTTTTTTTCCCAAGGATTATATAGAAATTTCATTTCCCAAAAATACAATAGTCAAGGGAATTATAAATTGTGCTGCCTACTAATAAAGAAAACATGATATAAAGTATAACAAAGGTATAAATTAATAAACACAACAACAAATATTAAAATATCATTTAAATATAAGCCAACTAGGTCTAGGATTTCTATTCAAGCTTGAACAATTTATTCTTTAATTTTTTTTAACAAAGGATGTTGCAGCTTAGAAATAAAAGGAGTTATAAATGTTGAAATTTAAAATCCAAATTTTCCGGATGTTATCTTTTAAGAGTAATTAGTTAATTGAATAAATTAAGTTAAACTTTAAGTTCTTATTTCTATCCTCCTGGTAAGCAGCTTCCCATCATGCCCGTTCCCACCCCCACTTAGAATTGCAATTGGCCTTCCCCGTCCAAAGTCAATGCTATAATAATCAAACCAAGTTGAACAACCCAAGACCAGAAGATTGTTTATACTCCTTGCTAGGCTTCCTGTCACTAGAACAGGAATTTCCTTTCATAATTTTGAGAAATTCGTCATCTTTTCCTCAGACTGTGAAGCTATAAACTTGTTCATTTGCCATGCTACATTGCCTAGCCCATGTTCTTGTAGCTCCATGATTTTCATGGTTATAAGTCCACCTCGTATCATATTTCGAGTATATTGTTCAGGCAGCTGGTGCAATCTTGATTTTGCACCAACTGCTGGGAAGAAATTAGTCTCTTCTTCCGGATCAAGATTTCTGATGCGCACAACAGCTTGCCAGATATGAGACAAGAGTGCTTGAAGAGAGGAGATTTTGTCTGTGCCATGTTCAGCGTTGGCCTTTACATTGAGATGTGCTATGTTTTCCCTAGTGACATGAAAAAACCTGACTTGCAATGGTGGAAGAACGAATTCATGAATTTGGGTGAGACAAGAGTTCGGAATACCAACAGTTCCCTCAATACCATGTGGAAACCAACGTCGAAGAGATGGGGGCCTGGACAATTCTATGGAACCTCGGAAAATTTCTGCCCAGGAATTTGATAAAATGCACAAATGATGTGCCATCAACCACAACATGATTGTAAGTGCAGCTAATGAAGAGCCCTCTGAAAGCTCAGTCACTTGTACTGCAAGTAAGGTATTGTAAGTAGCCTCATAAATTTTTACTTCATTTAACTGAAAAAATGAGCGAATAAAGGAAGGAACAACCATAGGGCCAATGATATCAGAAATATCTCATTAGCTGCAGCATGAACAAGCAAGACACCAACATTGTTGCAGTCAATGAAAAACGAAGAGGTTTCATTGTAAAATTCAATGGATGCGAGGCAGCCAACGAGGGGGAAGAAGTAGTTTAATTAGAGTTCGTGAAGGGGAGTTTTTCAATTGGTGGACTAAGGTTTCACCTAACTTTTGATCTTGCTGGAGTTGTGGCCTGTAGTAGAGAAGTCCCTTCGGGGCATAGTCCATGGCAAGGAACATGAGATCCCACGAGCTAACTCGATTCTTTCAACTTCTGTCTTGGGGTTGGCAGCTTGAACAATGCTAGTGGATATGAATCGAATATCACCCATGTCTCTCTATATTTTGTTAAGGTTCTCTGGTTCTTAGAAATTGAAGCCTCTATTTATAGCCAACAGTCGCATAATTTATTAGTAAAGTAATAAACTCTTAATTTAAATAATCATAGATAAAATCCTAAACCTCAAATATATATATAAAAAAAGGAACTTCCTATTTATAATCAAGTTCAACCACAACAACCATTAAAAATGTGCATTTAAGTGAAGATAAGTTGTACAAAGCTAGCATTTGGATATTTGATTTGACGGTAAAATGCATGTATTTCCAAATAAAGTTATGGTCAATTTCCTTTGCGTCAATAAAAAAATTTTCTATCCAAGAACATGGATGGCCTAATTTTCCTAAAGCAGCCAATTATAAACTTTCAATACTCAAGGCTATGAAGATAAGATGAAGTGAGCCATTAATACGGGTGCTTTAAAAATTGTTCAGTTCAATCTCAATTTTTTTTTTTTTAAATAATACATCTATTAAATCTAAACAAACTGAAATCCATGAATTCGGGTGTTTTATCATATATATCCACATTGATATTTTTTTTTCCCAATTTCTTTTACTTAAAAATGTTTCTAACTAAAAAAAATTAAGCACAAAAAGGTGAAAACCATAAGAAAAAAAAAGCATCACGTATAGACATTCATTGTTTTTTATAAAAAAAAAAAATCTAATTTTAAAAACAAAAGAAGTGAACAACTTTAAAAAAAAGAAAAAAGGAAGAAAGTTGAGTTTGCATGCAACATCATAAGTTTTTATCAAAAATTTTATATCATAAATTAAAAAACAAAACTAAAGAAAAAAAGAAAGGATTGAAAAAAGGAAAAGAAATTAAATTCGGATGTAATGCCAACACATCCCCTAGTATAATTTTCTTTAAAAATTATCAAATTATAAAAAAAAAGATAAAACATGTATTTTTAATAATAACATCAAATAAACCCATATTAAAAAATTCAAAATATTAAAAATTATTTATTAAATATCAAAAGTTAACAAAACAATAAAAAATAAAAAAATCAAATAACTTGACATGTTGTATACCCTTGATATAAAGTGGGTCTCACAAAAAAATATAAATCTAAAAAATGAGTTATCAATTACATAAAAAAGGGGAAATGTACAAAAAATAACATATGTGGTTTAGTATCCTTGATAACAAGTGAGTTTTAAAAAAATTAAAACAAAAAATTTAATTTTTTGAAAAAAAAGTTAAAAAAAAGAAGTAGAAAAAAATTTTGGTACAAATGGATCTCACAAAAAAATCTTTTAAAAAATATATTTTTGATTTCTTTTTAAAAATTATAAAATATAATAAAATATTAAAAAATTAGAGAAAATGTGTGGGTCCCACCCAAAAAAATTAACCAAAAAAAATGAGTCTCACACATTTACAAAAATTTTTAAAAATAAAAAATGATGGGCCCTAAAAAAATGTAAAAAAATTAATGTCATGGATCTCACCTTAAAAAAAAGTGAGTCTCGCACCTTTTGAAAAAATAAGCAAAAGGTAATGGACTCTATTAATAAAAACAAAAAAAAAAAAATTAAGAGATTATAAATGGTAAATTAAATGGATGACACTAGGCAGCCTCTTGTTGATATTTGCATACCAATATATACGATTCTCCTTTCACAATTTTATTGTTCAAAATGGGACTTGATGGACACCACAAAACAGAAAACAACTTGTCTTTCTTCGTATATTGCTCACCTTTTTAATATATTGTTATTGAAATCTACATATCAATATATTGGTCGTTTTTTCACCCTCACCAGGCATATGTAATCATCCAATCATGCTTTTTTCCTTGCCCCAATTCCAAATGCTATTGGCCTTAATTTCCATCCAAATTCAATACTATCATTTTTTTTTTTTGGGTACGATACTATCATTGAGTGCTTTCATTAATAGTTTTGTCATATGTGACCAATTATTAGACCCATTAATTAAACAAGGTAGGTTTTGGACTAATTTGAATTAGATTGTGACAGCATTCATGAATTGTTCTGCATTTGCCAAGGCCTGCAATGATTCGATGTCCACATATTCCATATAATACTGTAATTGTCCAATCATATTTACTTTGTTCAATTTTACCATGATACATTGATAAAGTGAATTATACATAGTTCTACATATAAAAATAATGATACATTGTAAACGAAGGCAACAAAGGGCGAAAAGAAGAAAACTCCTACATTTACATAGCTTATGATGACTAGCAGTATATATTTACTGCTGGATGCAGATGGCTTGAAGGGAGACAGTCTACAACTCAGAAAATTCTAATGGGTATTGTACCTTAGAAATAAGGGAATCCAAATCCAACATATGCTATGTAATTTATGTTACTTTTTAGTATTTTTGTCTTGACAATTCTTTGGAAAATTAAAGCAAAAGTTGAAAAATGAAATCATATTCAATCAAAATTAAATAGGCAATTAAAATGTACTGGTCAAGCACGCCATGACACATTGGTGAAGAGAAGAACTCTTCAAAATTCTAAATACGACTATGATTTTATCAGAGAGTGCTCAAAAAATGGAATAAGTGGACTTTAATTAGCAGTATCTCTCCAAGTCCTCCTTGCGAAGAATGATGATTATTCATTGAAGCTTCCCCGCTGTTTACGCTCAAGGGTCAACTAGAAGCGCTAAAATTCACATACTATCTCCTTCCACAATTTAATTGTTCAAAATGGGACTTGATGGACACCACAAAAATGAAGCAAAACAACAATGAATGTTTGAAAACAGAAAAAGAACTTGGCTCCCTTAGTCATCACTTAGTCAATTTTTACCTACAGCAATTTACCATTCTTTCTTCTTGGAATTTTCCTGGAAGGAACATTATAGTAGATCTTTAATCCAAGACACCATCACTAGGCGCTTTCACATCTATGATAGAGATTTGTTTGAAAAAAATTTGGGATTAATGTCAAGGGAAATTGTCTGACAAATGTTTGTGTTTTTTTTTTTTCCTTTTTTCCTTGGAAACTGATGTGCTTTTAAACTAGAGAAGTTGACAGTTACTAGACAGACAGTTCTTAAGCAGTAATTAACCATCACCAAGCTCCATTTCTTTCAAAGTTACTAGCTAACCTCTTAATATTTTCCTCTATAGACAATAGTCAAGACAGCAGTCA